GCAGTGGAACACTGTCAGATAACACAAGAATACTGAATATTAAAACATTATGAATAGCACTAGAATATTATCAGACATTGTGTAGGAATATAAGACCCTCAGATAGGAAGGAATTCAAGATACAACTGGGAAAGAGCTGCTTCCTCAAAGTAGAGTTGATCTTGATGAAGTGAGTGGAGGGAAGCTTTGGGGACCTTCATTTGCTGATGAGGCCCAGCTCAATACAAGGAAAAACAGCTGTAAATATCCATTAATGATGGGGATATGAAGTATAAATCTTGGAAAATCGCAAGTTATAAAAACGAAATAGAGCTCATAAAGATTGATAAACTAGACATTACTGGCCATTTGAATTTGATAATCACATGGTTTACTATGCTGGTGATAGCAAATTAAAGAAAAATGGCATCATATTCATCATCAAAAAGAACATTTAGAGCTCTATCTTGATGTATAATGCTGTCCGTGACAGGATAATAGCCATACACCTACAAGGAATACCCCTTAATACCACTGTTATTCAAAGTTTCGCACCAATCACTAAAGCCAGTGATGGTGAAATTAAAAGAATTCTACCAACTTCTTCAGTTTGAAATTGATCAAACATGCAGTCAAGATGTATTGATAATTTCTGGTAACTGGAATGCAAAGATTGGAAACAAAAAGGAGGGATCAGTAGTTGCAAATTATGGCCCTTGGTGATAGAGACGATGCTGGGGATCGCATGTTAGAATTTGCAAGGCCAATGACTTACTCATTGCAAATACCTTTTTTAAACAACATAAAAGATGACTGTACACATGGACCTCACTGGATGGAATATACAGAAATCAAATCTACTACATCTGTGAAAAGAGATGATAGAAAAGCTCTAGCTCATCAGTCAAACAAAGCCAGGGGCAGACTGTGGAACAGACCATCAGTTGCTCATATGCAAGTTCAGGCTGAAGCTGAAAAAATTAAAACACGTCCACAAAAGCCAAAAAATGACCTTGAACATAATCCACCTGAACTTAGAGACCATCTCAAGAGCAGAGTTGATGCATGACCAAAAACCAGAAGCAGTAGTGCATGACATCAAGAACATCATACAGGAAGAAAGCAAAAGGTCATTAAGAAGACAAGGAAAGAAGGAAAAGACCAAAATGGATGTCAGAAGAGACTCTGAAACTTGCTCTCCAGTGTAAAGATGCTAAAGCAAATGGGATAAATGAGGAGATAAAATAGTGGAACAGAAAATTTCAAAGGGCAGCTTGAGAAAACCAAGTCAAGTATTATAATGAAATGTGCCAAGACCTAGAGTTAGAAAACCAAAAGGGAAGCTCAGCATTTCTTAAGCTGAAAGAACTGAGGGAAAAAAGTCAAGCCTCAGATTGCATTATTGAATGATTCTAGGCAAAATATTGAAGATGCAGAAAGTATCAAAAGAAGATGGAAGGAATGCATAGGGTTACTGTACCAAAAAGAAATTATTGATGTTCAACCATTTCAAGAAGGAACATATGATCAAAAGCCAATGGTAATGAGGAAGAAGTCCAAGGTGCACTGAAGTCACTGGCAAACAAGGCTCCAGGAGTTGATGGAACACAAATAGAAAATCTTTCAACAAACTGATGCAGCGCTAGAGGCACTCACTCATCTATGTCAAGAAATTTGGAAGACAGCTACCGGGCCAACTGATTGGAAGAGATCCATGTGTGGGCCACAATAGAGGTGAAGAGAGAGATGTCACAATGGAATGCAGAAATCATCAGACAATATCATTAATATCACATGCAAGTAAAATTTTGCTAAAGATAATTCAAAAACAGCTGCAACAGTACATTGACAGGGAGTTGCCGGAGGTTCGGACCTGGTCTAGATGAGAACGTGGACTGACAGACATAATTGCTGATATCAGATGGGTCTTGACTGAAAGCAGAGAATACCAGAGAGATGTTTCCCTGTGCATTATTGACTGTGCAAAGGCTTCTGACTATGTGGATCATAACAAGCTGTGGACACCATTGCAAAGAAATGGTATTCTAGAACACTTACTTATACTCATAGGAACGTGTCCATAGACCAAGAGGCAGTCATTCAGACATAACAGTGGTCACGGAATGGTTTGAAATCAGTAAAGGTGTGTGCCAGGGTTGTATTCTTTCAAAGATTGAAGTTGTATTCTTTCAAAAGACTGAAGTTGTCAAGGACTTCATATTGCTTGGATCCACTCTAATACTCATGGAAGCAGCAATTCAGGAAAATAAGATGATGTGCACTGAGCGAGTCTGCTGCATGAGACCTCTTGAAAGTGTTCAAGAGCAAAGATGTCTGTTTAAGGACTAAGGTGTGCCTGATCCAAGCCATAGTATTTCCAGTAGCCCTGTATGGTTTCAATCAGTGGTTCAGACTCACCAGCCGCTCCTCAGAACTCCTATACAGAGTCTATGAATAGGAACTGATTCAGCGGCAGTTAACATCAGCATATGCATGTGACAGTTAGACTATGAATAGAGAAGCCCATAGAAAAAGTGATGTATTTAAGTTATGGAGTTGGACAATAATACAGAAAGTACCATGGCCTGCCAGAAGAACAAACAAATCTGTGTTGGAAGAAGTGCAGACAGAATGCTCCTTAGTAGCCAGGATGGTGAGACCTCATCTCTCATACTATGGACATATTATGAGGTGGGACCAGTCTCTGGAGAAGGACATCTGCTTGGTAAAGTGGAGGGTCAGCAGAAAAGAGGAAGACCCCCAATGAGACGGATTGGCACAGCGGATGCAGCAGTAGGCTCAGGCGTAACAAGGATTGTGGGGTTGGCACAGGACTGCGCTGTGTTTTGTCCTGTGGTACATACACAGGTCACTGTGAGTGGGAATCAACTCGACAGACCTTACACAACGTAAGGGCACTGGCTAGTGAATTTCAGACCCACCCTGATCCAGGATAATCTCTATATGAACAAAGAACCCATCCAAATAAGGACACGTTCACAAGTACCAATAACCAAGCTCCCCGCTGTCAGAGTCAGTTCCAATTGTCGTGTCCCATAGGACGGAGTAGCAGTGTGTGCTTAGGGTTTCTAAGGCAGGAGCAGATGGCCCCATCTTTCTCACAATTGTTAGCTGCTGTCAGGTTGGCCCCTGAGCCCTGACGACCCCATGAACAATGAAACCAAGCCCTGCCCAGCCCTGCTTCATCCTCAGGATCAGTTGCAGATAAGACCGTTGTGACCCACTGGGTTTGCTTTGGCTGGGTTTCAAAAGTAGATTGCCAGTAGCTCTTTCTAGTCCATCTTAGTTTGGAAGTTCCTCTGAAATCCATTCCATGCAGAGCAACCCCAGTCCCTACGCTGGCCACAGTCGTTGGCTGCGTCTGAGGAATGTTGACTGGGATTCAAACCCCCACCGAGGAGTTACCTTTGCACCATTATCATGTGACTCCATTTCCTCGGTTCTGCTGACTTCACTGCAGAGCTAGCCCTTAGTCACTGCCCTGCAAGGGCTCAGTACCCACACCTGGTGTTTACAAGGCATGACCTTGAAATGCTGTTCTCTTTAACCCGTCCTCAGGTTATGTGTATAATAAACTCTTGAAGCTTCGAGTACCTCCAGGTCTTGGATGAGAATCGGCATGCTCTGTAAATTCAGGACACACTTACAATCTCCCCCAGGTTGTCTACCAAGGGACCGAATCTGTAGAGAATGGGTGTTGCTTCCTAGCGATGTAAGTTTTAAATAAACACATATTTTGTAACATAAAAGCTTTTGTCCAGATTTTCTTAAGCAAAGACAGGAAAAGTTCAAGTTCTAAGAATAAAACACGCTTCCCGATGGTGCCTTTTTCCATGGTGAAAATACTGATCAACCCCCCCCCATCCAAAAAAAAAAAAAAAAGCTAAAGAGGATAGAGAGAAACACTGTTAACTGATGATATATGGAGGGGATAATAATCAATGTAATGAAACAAGCTATATGAATGGTTGAATGTGAAGCTGATGATGTGCCCTGTAAACTCTCACTCAATCCAAAATAAAAACATTTAATTAAAAAAAAAAAAAAGATGGGATAAATCTTCACAGCAAGGATAATTCCCACACCCTCTGCACATGGAGAGGACAGGGGTGGGCAATTTGGACCTTGGTTACCCAGAATGGGTGGGGGGTACAGAGGCAAGAAATGACTGGCTTACAAGCCTTCAAGAGGGAACCTAGATCCAGAGGGCGTGGAGCAAGGTAGAATCTCCACTGAGTAGTATCCATTCTGTCTTCTTGAGGCTGATGAAAGGACATGTGGATAGGTGTCTTGTGATGCAATAGCGAATAATTGTTATCAGGACTGATTGTAAGGACTGGAAATGTAAAGGCAAAGGGAGGAGAGTGATTAACTTTGGAGTCTAAGAGCGGAGGTCCGTGGGACTATCAAGGGAGAAGAGTGGAGAATGGTACCCTACCCAGAGAAGCAGTGATGCCAGAGATGTAGGCTGAGATGATGACATGGAGAGATGGAGTGATTGGGGACTTTGGACCTGGAGAGGAAGAGGATCTGTGTGCAGACAACCGGGGTGGGGTGTGGGTCTGGGGACAGGTGGATGATGCATGGAGGGGATTGTAACCATGGCAAGAAAACGATATACGACGGGATCAATGTGAAGCTAATGTCCTCCCATGTAAACTCTCACAGAATTCACAATAAAGCATTAAAACAAAACAAAAAAAATACTGATCAACCCAGACACAAACCAAAGACTGATGTTCTCTAAACTGGTCAAAAAGGGCCTCGTGAAACTGCTTCAGGGACAGGTGTCATTTGCTGTCTCTTCAGTGGGCTGAGAAAACAGCTGAGACTACCTTGGGAACCTAAGCTGTGTTGGTTGAACTGTCCGGCTGTGGCGTACCTGGTGCAGCTGACGAAGCCCGGGTGTCTGTTGAGGACAGGCTGACTTTGCAGTTCTCTTTCCCCTGGGAAGGAGCCCCTGGGAACCCTCGCTCACGTCTCCTTTTGTCTCTTTCCAGGACTCCACCTCCTCCATTGGATCTACCACCATGGTTGTTCCGAGAGCTGGCGCAGCGACTGGCGAGCAGGCAACGTCTCCCAAAGTCCAGCTACCCCTCAACGTGTGAGTTGTCTTTTATGACTGTTGTGTCCCCACCCCAGCCCCACACCCGTGCTTGCATTTGACTGTGTGATTTCTAGGCCCAAACCCCAAAATGATACCAGCTGTACTTGACTGACCTCGGACTTGTGGCGGCTCATGTGTGTCACAGTAGAACTGTGGACTCACAGTAGGAGCGTTTCCGGTGGCTGGTTGTATGGAAAAAGGTTGATAGAACTTTCTTCTCAGGCCCTTCTGGGTGGACTTGAACCTCCAACCTTTTGGTTAGTAGTTGCATGCTTAACCATTTGTGCCATCTAGGGTGCCCATGTTTTTAACAAGGCTTTAAAATTTATTCATAACTGGCCAACCTAGGAGTCCTGGAATAGTGCTATAGGATAAGCATTGTGTGGCTAACCATGGGTCAACAGTTCAAATCCACCAGCTGCTCCTCAGAAACCCTACACAGGGTTACTGTGAGTCAGTACCAACTCCACACTACCTAACAATAACAACAGCATGTAAAAGTACATGCTGATGTGCTCAAAGGAGAGTGTATTCTTTTTTGTTGTTTGTTTTAATGTTTTATTGTGAATTATGTGATAGTTTACATGAGAGAACATTAGTTTTACATTCATTCTATCATATATCGTTTCATTGCCGTGGTTCCGATCCCCTCCATGCATCATCCACCGACCAAAGGGTATATCCTACAAACCCGACCCCTACACCCCCCCCCCCCCACCCCCAGTCTTCAGCCCACAGTCCCTCTCCCTCTC